GTGATGCCGCCGTATTCCCTTCCGCGAAATCCCGCGCTCGGGATGCCCGATTCTCAGGTTCGTATAAATTTGTTTACTCTAAATTATGACTCTAATAGATACGGTCGCGTGTCTCCCGACCGTTTCTTCGTTGATGCATCGCACAAAGAATTAACATTATCTCTCATCGAACGGAGGCAGCCGGTCTCGTCAGCTGTTTTCCTCGCGTGATAGTCGGCAATTACAACCAATTCTGTATCGATCAGCGGCGATTCGATGGCGTAGATTATCTGTCAATGATTTCGAATTTGATCGTTTCGACGCCTACAAGAAATTAGAAATCGTCTCCGTTCGAAAAACAGCTCGAAGGGAAGCACGATAATAAGCACGATGGCGAATTCGCGGTGGTAGCTACATATAATTTGCATAAATAATATCCACCGATCTATTGGCCGATAATCACTTCCCGTTTATTATTCTGAGATACGTATGCTATTTAATTATAATTATTATCGACAACTAATTTCACTCGTAATTGTTAGGACCGCCACGATAATGTCCCGTTGCATTATTTTACTACGGTGAATAAATGTAATTACGACGTGTTTATGAATTAAGGAAAATCGTGGAAACGGTATTTTTAACTGCTTATATTCTCGTTATGCTGTTTCTTAGTAATGAAACAAATAGGTAAATATGATAGAATGATTTATGGCTCTATTGATAAATAATGATAAAGTAATTGCGCGCTTGCCCTAGCGGAAGTTCCTATCGCGAGAAATAAAACGATACCAGCTTCCGTTAATTCATGAGTAGGGAAGTGATATTTTATATTACAATCAGCTGTGTGGGGTGTATTAATCGTTATTATTATTACTTAGATATCGCGCGCACGAAGGTGTATTATTTTTTTGTCGATATCTAACCTATATACATAGCTTGTATTCAGAACGCGGTTACGACGATGTAGAGTGCATTTAGCATATAGTTCATATTACACATATATATGTAATATATAACATATAAAATAAAATTGAAATAAATAAAAGCGCGTACTCACAATGTCCTGCTGAAAATTTGATTTGCTTAACTAATCACAAAATTAAACTGACTAATATCATAAGTTTGAATAATATAAAACTCAATGCAAATGTATAAGAGACATAAATACATTAAAAATTAGATTAAAATTTTTTATTATTTGATGAAAAAGAATTTTTGTCTCCGTGATTTTCTTTTGTAAATAAATTAGGCAATTTCTCGCATTAGTAAAACTTACAGCCAACGGAGAATTAAAGAACATAAGAAATCGATGGATAATCAATACCTTGTAAAGCTTATACATTGTTTCAACTATATTAAAAGAGCGATATTGTTTACATTATTGACCATTGGCTCGATGATTACTGCGATGAAGATTTACGTATTTATTCAGATAACTGTTCTTTCACAGTTTTCCACAAAAGGCGATATAGAGCGATGAAAGAGAAACTGAGAAGAGGCTTCGCGTTTCTTTTACAATTCCGTCGAAGTGATGGATGAGTTCTTCGGAGAACTGTCGTCGATAAATCACCGATAACCGTGTTTTTTTAACAGCCTGTCTTTGTTTTTGCCATTGCGCCGACAACGCCTCCCGTAAAATTGCATTTGTGGCGGCGTCAGGTCCGTTGTCTCGTAAAATATACACGCCTATGAACGTCATTACCACGTAATTAACACTCTCCCCTTCTCCTGTTCCATTCCTCAGCGGCGTAATGAGTTCGAGCGTGGAAATTTGCATGTGAATCTCACTACGGCTGCCGACATACCGCAAAACCGCATCCGCGAAGTCATTCTTCGTTTCGAGCTATGCGGACACGAAGAGAAGACCGGTCTGTTGTTCGTGCATGTGCGGACGCAATCGCGTGAATGCATCTGGTAGCAAAATTGGGTCGCGTGTCACGCCTGTCAGTGCCATTTCGTAAACGTAAGAGTGAACTTCCGATTGTGTTTTTAACGTGAACGAGAGTAGACTCGTTTGATGTTCGAACTATGTGAAAAAACGATATTAGTTATCGGTTGTTGATTGAATACAGCCTCCGGTAGAACAATTCCGGAGCAGATAGCCATACGAGGAGAGACGGCCATTGTGGATTCTCCGGTAATTGTCGATATGATATGCATGAATAGTTAGTAAACGTCATGGTGATTGATTGGAATTGTTTTGCGATTAGCAGCCTTTAGCGGATATGTCAATGTTTTTTACTCGAATTTTTCTCCTATCTGTTTAAAATTATTTTTCAATTAAATGAAATTAAAAGTTCGCTTCAAATCAATGACCAAAATGGAAATTTATATAACTTTATGAAAAATAATCGTAAAATGATTTTTCAAAGACAAAGAAAATTTATTTTTAAAAATCTAAAGATTCTACTTTCATATCTTATAATATTAAATTTTTGTCTCGATTAACAAAATTTGTTCAAGAAATTTTTGCTCACGTGTCGCTATTTCCAAATCGAGAGCGCGCAAAGTTAATAGAAAGTTTCAACGCATAGAGTTGAAAAAAAATTGTTTTTAATTAATTTGAAACAATCTGAAAGTTTAAAGTCTCCTTTTTAAAATACTCTTTAAGAAATTAAAATACAATTTTTTGTTGTCGAGTTATCGCGGTTTGAAGTGGCCAATATATTTCATTTTTTCATCACTAGAAATAGCATCTCAGAAATTAATGTACTTTCTCTAAATCACAGACACTAGGAGGAATAATAACAGTTTGAATATATATCAAGGTGTAAGTGGTTACAAACTTTTACAAGCGGCTGGACACATTAAGAGAATTCGCGATTTATGTTTCAGAGATGGAAGTGGATAATACCATCTTACGTGCTCCAATTAATTTTCTAAAAGTAAAATTATATGAACAAATTTCTAATCTGATCGCATAACTTTCGTGAATAGAGTTCTCTCGCAAATTCAAATTACGTTCACAATACAACTCATTTTACTCGCGTATACTTGCATGCGGAACGGTCCACGTGCGTTTCGCGTGGCATCTGCAGCAGACACGTTCCCGTTGAGACAAACGCGGCACGTCGTCGCTTCTCACGTGAGCACGGCGAGAACTAATTGATCGTATCTCCGCGCGTGTTTAATAGCCAAGCGCTTTTACTGCATCGGAGTAAAGTTGGTACGGCCGACACGGGCAAGATCATGGACGGCAATCGCGTCCCGATTTCGCTGCGGATCAATTTACCTAACAAGAGCGAGGACGCGATAAAGTTGAACCGTCGCGAGGCCGCGCGAACCCGTAATTAACGTCTCCGATGAAATGTCTTATAATCGCTTAATAAGCGTCCGCGTGCGTTAATTGAGTACATCCAGGGCGTCGTATTTCCAGGGCCGACAATTAGCGCGAAAACCATGATGCTCTTCTCAGTACGACGCCCGATAGTTCGCAATACTACGTGGAAAAATTCTTCGTAACCGATTTAACGATCGGCATTAAATGTCTACAAGTGTAAACGATAAACTTTTTCCGCGTGTTTCGCGGAGAATAGTCCAATCCACTCGTGTTAATAACGCGCCAGTAGTAATCAGCGTTAATTACATTGTCATCGATTTCGGAGAAATAGAAAAAGGAAAGAAAGAAAGTGAGAAAAGGAGAGAATGAGAGAGAGAGAGAGCAGCATATGGAGAAAAGGCAAATCGAGTGGCATTGATTTACGCTTGATTACATTTCCCGCGAGATCTCTGGCGCGCAATTCTGCATAAGTGAATGCACTTTGACGAGACGCCGCTCACGCTCGCTTACTACTTTCGATTATTTCTGCGCCGTCATGAATGAGACGTCCGGTATTCGCGCCGGCTACTCGCGGTAGTAATGCTATTTAAAATGCCGACGTGAGATACATATTATTCGACGTGTTACTCATGAAGGTAGAAAGTGCTCGATCGTCCGCGTGATGTATCGCGATGCGTATATATGCTGAAGAAGAGGCGAATATGCGTGCATTTCGCCGTTCACCTTCGCCGGTCTCTGACAGAAGGTGACGAGGGTTAAAAGGTGGAATTAGAGGGAGCCTCTCAACTCACGGGAAGGTCAAGCTCGTGGGCTAGCACAATCCAATGTTCGTTTCTGCATGCGTGCACGTGCGGTATACGCACGTGCGTGATGAACGTGCTCGCCATCGGGCCACCGATGAGCACGTTTCCATCGCGATTAATCGATAAACGCGCTTCGTTTCGGTAGCGAACGCGCGCTTCGATCGATCTTTGTATCTCGTAAAGCGGATATTAATCGTAGAGACGTATTTAATGGTCTGATGAAGCATACCGGCATTATTCATCATAGAGAGATGTGTTTTTTTTATTTCTATACAATTCAGCATGATGTGCATGTTTGTTTAACAGAAGAAATTGAATGTCGAATGTTACTACTCGAATTCTAATACGCTAAAGTTATATAATTAATTATTTAACATTTTATAATATTTAATATTCAGTTATGAATATTAATATATTTACCCAGCAAGTGTCAAGCATTATGATATTATATGTATATATATATACCATTTATCAAAGCTAATTAATATAATTAATTATTTAACATTTCAATATATAAAGCTTATTTGTGAATATTAATTAAGATCTTAATGCGTTGTAATATTCATAATGAAAATGAAAATCAAGATTCATTGCTAAGATATTTGTTTGAGGAAAGAAATAAATAACTTCTTTCAATTTATAATAAAAAGATTCAATTACAAAATGATCTTATGAATTCAATTATAGGTCTGTCAGTTGGTTTTCAATTTTTCATAGAGTAATTATTCGATCTTATTTGAGGATGAACTAATCTCGATGTGATTCATCGAGATTCGTTCGGCTGTCAATTTTGTATGGCCGACCCTACACTATTGGATCCAATTACCGATTTCTGCTGGTATTCGATTCAATTGTCAAATTGAAATGCAAATGACTAAGGAACTTGTTGTATTGAGGATTGTGATAAGTAACAAGAGCCTTCGTTCTGGTTTCAGGAACCAAAAAGCGAGTCGACGAAGTAGCATCACCAAGGACTATCCACGACTTGCCAGAACACGTTCTCACATGTGGCCTGTCACTTCCCGGTAAGCATTTAAAAAATACAATTTTTTCTGAGAAAAAGTTAATGATGATAATTTTTAATTATCTGTTATGACGAAAGATATTAGATTTGTATTATACATCGTCGAAATTCGAAATTTAAAAAGCGGAAAAATTTGAAACGATAATTTTCAACGTTTGTACAATATATTTCTTAAATTATTGCTAAATGTCTATCTGGAATCTATATATATTCTAGATTATTTAAAGAGAAATAAGATTGTTGATCTCCAAATTTAAACATTTTTATCGCGATAGTCGATTGCGCTTTTGTTGTAAGCCTTTGTTTCGCGTTGAGGTACTCCACATAGAGGCAACAGCAGAAACGTGAACTTACGCCACACACGCGACTCTACGTTGCTTCTCGCGACGCGTTGCGGAAGATAACAACACGCGGTGACCGCGGAGGAGTATGCGGAAGCTGGGACACACCCATCCACCACGTAGGGCTCCTAAGCTTGGTTCACACGCCCCCGCATCTTCTACTCGTTCTGTGCATCTATTTACGTACTTCGTCGAGTACCGGCAGATACTTCCACGGCAGGCCGTTTCTCTCCCTTCTACCGTGATTCTGCCTTGTCGAGTGCGCCATTCTCTCGGCCGTTCTCCTTGCTCTTCGTCCCGCATTGTCCCTTTCTCTCCCTTTCCGTGAGGCTCAGCTGGTCGGATCTGCAGATATCTAACTGTATTCCCGTAGTTGGCGCAGTTGTTGCTCTCTGTCGTAGATTAGCGCACGGCGGGAAGAGGTAGTCACTGGACGATAACTGAAAGAAGCCTGACCAAAGATTAACCCGCTAGTGTTCGCATCACGAAACACGCTTTGCCTTAAATTACCTTGCATAGACAGTATATAATGATCGTTTCAAGTATTTAAATGAGTATACATATATTCCATGTTCATTTTTACCAATATAGATTAACCTTAATCTTGATTTATCTTATTTTTTTTTCTTCTAATTCTGAAAATTAAAAAAAGATAAAAAGTAAATTAATCTAAGATCAAATTTAATCTACATTAATAGAAATAGACCTCATAAACTCATGTTGGACAAAAATAATATTAAATATACCAAATATTTTTTTGCAGTATATGGGAGCTCATAGAATTTATTCATAGAATTTATTTATTTATAAGGGCATAAAAGAAAGTCTTGAATGCAGGAGTCAGTTGCAAGATATAATCATTACTGTTGAACGAATATTATCTGAGCATTCGATTTTCTTGATACAATAAATGCGATCATTGTGATGGTTATCGCGTTATCTCGTGATAATAAACTGGAAGAGATATTAATCTACTAGAATCGATTAAAAGCAATATGTAATATTTTTATGATATGAAACGGAGAAATCACTTGATCGAACTTTGCTTTAGATCAAGTAAAGTCTCTATTTTTTCAGCGTGTCTAATATCGACATCGTTCACGTAACCAGTCCCTCCTTCAAAGCGGCGTCCTGCAACGGTAATCGGGTGAAAGGGAAAAGCGCACTCGGCCGCTTTAATTGCAACCGAGTGTGGGATATACGCGACTCTTTTGTGTCTCGATTAAGGAGGGACTCCTCGCAACAACATTAACGTTAACTATCCACTTACTTGAACATGAGCTACACGCTCAGTTCGCACGCCTTCGTGTTTCTCGTGCATCCATCCATTTATATCCTCTTCTCGTAAAAGGGCCAACGGTCCCTTCCGCCTCTCTCCGTCTCAATGAATGCTCTTCTCTGTTTCTCTATGTCTCACACACGTACCCTTTTTCGTATATCACCATACACTCCTCTTCCCGCTACCTTTTCTTACCTTCTGGTATCACCTCAGTGTTCATGCTCCCTTCGTGTGCCTCGTATTCTCCCTCCGCTCCTTTCTTCCGCCCGTCTTCGTGGCTCGCTCAGCTGGCCGGATCCACGTATGTCTAACTGTATCCCGTAGTTGGCAAAGCTGCCGCTTTGTCGCCGATTAGTTGACTGGTACGCGGGCAGGCAGAGACGATGGGCGACGATCTAATGGGCTCCGGCGTGCTTCGAACTAGAGAAATAAACGGTAAGAAACACGTCGTGCCATTAGTTGTTAATTTTAATTACAGTAAAACGCACACGGCGCTTCTTACGGGACTTGGTACGATCGCACGAGACCCTTAGAGGTGAATTGCCCTTTCGCAGCTAGGTAAAAGCGAACTTACACAATTTATTTTAAACGATCGTCTCCGATGACTCATAAAAAGCGAATGCAATGAACAATTAAGTTTTTTTTTTAAGGAAATAATTAAAGAAACGGACTATATTAGTGTAATATAATTCGCAAATGTAATCTTTTAAAAAATCGAGTTAAATGTGTAATTATAAATGTGCCGATTATAAATCACTCAATGTGCTCTTTTTAAATTTGGTTGATAATCTTTTCTATTATTAATCTCTATAGGATGGTAAAGCCATTGTATTATATCAAAATAATACCACACAGTGACATTATTGAAATAATAATGTTATATTTGGAACAAAGAATACAACGAGATAATGAATTATCTTAATTAATAAATCTTAATTAAGGAAAAACTGTAAGATACTTAATTTAAAAAATAGATTTCTGTCCCCTTTAAAGGTAAATAATAGCAAAGAGAATTTCGTTTTTCTTTTCTTTTTTTTTAATTATATACGTTGTCTATTTTTTGTTTGCTGTGGATGATTTGTCAAACTAAAAAACCGTGCAGATTCACCTTCAAGCAGATCCTCGAGTATTTCTGACTGTTCTTCGCCTCGACCCACGTATCTTCGTACTTCACATTCCCGCACCTATTTATACTGCCTTTCTTTTCCAAAGGTAGTTCCTCGCGTGTCTCGTTAGGCTCCTCTCGTTTCTCTTTCTTCATCCATCGATTCCGCCTTCAGTGCTCGATGCTTGCGGTGCTCCTCTCGTCGTGTTCACTTCCTTCATTCCGCCACCTTGATTGCAACAAAGCGCAACGTTGTTTCGGTTTCGTGGGATCCCGTTGGAGCTGCCCGCGGGGCTCAGTTTCCGACTCGTCTCGAGCAATCTTCGCGAGATTTTCCGACCACCTCACGTCGCTCCGATCTTCTACACTTTAATGTTTACATGTTCACGTTGCATGTACCATTCCTCCTGTGATACCAATGCGGTACGTCATGAGAACGTAAGAATTTACGAGAAAGTCTACTGTTGACAATCTGCCAGGCGGAAGCGCACTCTGTCCGTTCAAGAAATCTAAACGCTATCTTTTAGATAATCACCTATTGTGCAAAATCACACAGGATGCAAGGACTTTATATGCGCGCGCGCGTATAACGTGCTTATTCTACTCACTCTTGAAATAACAGTGCATGCATGGGCATGATGATCGTCAATTGCTCGGCTAAATAAGAAGAACACTAATAAAATTATCTTTTAGCTTGTTAAAAGTACAGTTGCATTTTTTTGGATATTCATAATGTAAACGCTGTTATTTTTACCTTAATGATAGCTGCGCTTCTTCAGTTTGGCGAGCAATACTACTAACAATATTTTTTACCGTCACAGATGTCTGGTTTATAAAAATAAAAGGATTTGTAATATTTTACGGCTAATGAGTAGAGTATTATTTAATCATTATTGCTTTCATAAGAAATATTTGATTTATTTTGACACGAGCATGGGATCGTATAAATTGTGTAAAAATATGTATTGAAAGTTAAACATAAATAGCTAATTCGCTTCCCTAGCCATCGTCTAATGTTACAAGTCTCGTGGTATACGAAGTGGGTCTCTCAGTACGTCATCCGAACAGGCTTCCTCATTGATTCTTCGCGTTCTTCAAGCAACGGCAGCTCAAGACTCCCTTGTTATATCCTCTCCTTTCTCCCTAGTCGTTTCCTTTCCTCTTCCCACGGATTCCCTGTTGGAGAGATCACCGGGTGCCTAACTGTAATCCCGTAGTTGGCGAAGCTGCCGCTTTGTCGCCGATTAGCTGGTCAGAGCCTAGTCGAGCCGCGATCGCTTTAAAAGAGGTGGGACGGAGCAGGAAGAGGAAGTGCAGGAGATCGCAGCGTCGTGCCGCGTTTACGCCCGCCGGGCAAAGAGGTGCAAGTACGACAAACGACCGCGGCCGAAGTTCAAGCGGGTGCTTCGAGAGAGTCGGATTGGAGGGCATTAACGAGCCCGCTGGTACGGTGATGGTCTTTGCGACCGTCACGTATTTTCTTACCGTCGCTTTTTCCGCAAGTCCTATAGAAATTTGCGAGAAATTTGCGGAAGCAGACTCGTGCACGATCGAAATTTTGCTATCTTGCTTGATTAAATCTAATCCACATATGAGAAGGTTTGGTCAATTAGCAAACTCATTCCACGTCCATTGGAACTTGACTTAATTCGTCAACTCGATTAGGCATATCCGCATAAATTATTGGGAAAACGTTGCCACGTCAAGAGAAACCGTCTCGACTCGATTTGTGCCAGGAATCGTAGATTTATAAGGTAGCTCTCTGCGTGGCGCGTACACGGTCGCAGCAGGTGAGCAGAGTGTGTAATAGAATCCTCGAGAACAGCGGTGAGAAATTATACAGGATGCTTCATAAAGCAAATGGAATTTTATCGATTTTTCAATATACTTAAAATGAGAGATTTTTTTAGATCAAAATTCACAAGACGTAAGATTTAACGTTCAAAGAGAGAATGAGAGAGATTAGAGCAAATGTAATTTTAGGAACGCAGCAAGTTAATTAGTGTAGTTAATTACAGATTTTGATAACATCCTGCAAAGTTTAATTACATAAATATTTAATATTAAAGAAGAATATAGCATCCCATCAAATGTTTCTTAAATATTAATTTTTGTACAAAGTTTATGAAGCACTCTGTATTTTGTGCTCTGAGAAGCGTGATATATCAGCGTGATAGCAGCTGGATATCCTCGTTAAATTAAACGAACGACGACTAGATCGAGCAGCGGCGTAAATTGTGACACCATGTACGTATTTACACGGTGGTATGATTTAC